CCCTTTTGTGGGGAAACTCAAATGTATGCACTCACTACTGTAAGTTGCTCTGGATAAGAGTGTCTGCTAAACGACTAAAATTTAAATTTTTATGAAAAACTAATTCTGATTGGCTGGGCCTGGCTCTCCAGTGGGTGGGCCTGGCTCCCAAGTGGGTGGGCCTATGGCCTCCCAGGCCCACCCATGGCTGCACCCCTGCCCAGTCATGTGAAATCCATAGATTAGAGCCTAATGAATTTATTTCAATTGACTGATTTCCTTATATGAACTGTAACTCAGTAAAATTGTTGAAATTGTTGCATGTTGCGTTTATATTTTTGTTCAGTAAAAATTGAGATTCTCGGATTTACAAACAGAATAATACGAAATGCTCTGAGACCAGGTTGGATGCTCAGGTGCCACTGTCAACGTTTTATTTTCTTCCTAGTGATCTCTCTCTGCCGTACAATTTATGATGTGAGCCAGTTTCCAAATTTTAGGCTCTGCACTGCTTTTTAAAAACTGTCCTGTTTCTGCCCCCGCTTCCTTGAGGTAATGAATACGTTGCTGTCAGTCTCTTGCACGGATATATTATTGCCTGCATGCACATATTTCTGTGAAAGGCAAATCTGTTTTGGTGAGCTACCGAGTCAATTTACAAAAGGCAAGTTGTTTAAAACATTTTTATTGTGCTATTCTCAGGTTTATTTGTTAAGACAGTTTATTCATAAAGCGCTCACACTGTGTCTGGTGCACATTGTCCCAGACTTCACCGTAGTTGCTCACTGTATCTAGCTAACGCGGACTAGCTATCTAGCTAGTAGTCATTTGATGTTTGAAAATGTTTTGGCTGATAAGCAAACGACGCCAACGACCTAACTAGCTAGTCAAACTTTGAGGGAACAGTTGTTCGGCAAAGTTGGGATCAGCATTGCCTAACAGTTACATTTGAGTCAGGTTTCATTTTCATCCTCTCAAAGAGTATGTTTACATACACTAATGTGGAGATCTATTTTCTTATAACTAGATGTGATGCCTAGCTTAGAAAGAATACATTAATGATTAAACATAATAGGTTTGTACTGTACTGATATAGATTGTTTAATATAACAAGCTGTGATTAATGTGGGGAACCGTTAGGGGGTAGGCTGAGATAAGACTTGTGACTCACACGCACACACACTGCCTCTTTGTTAAACCGCTCAAGGACATATGTTCTGCTACAAAGATTGATGCAACTATGTCTGAGGTTGCTGACTCGAGACAAGTTGTAAAGATAACAACTAATGCCTGACAACAGTGGAGCGCCAAGGGGCTGGGACCAGCCTGAGCGCCAGCGATAGGCTGGGTAAGTTTAAACCACGCCTAGCCTCTATTCTGACAGGCCCAGCAGGGAGCGGGAACTATCTCTGTCAGAGTATTTAAAGAAGAACTTATAACAAAAGCTCAGTTCTCTGTCTGCCCAGCGTGGTGTTTCAGTGAGCCCGTATACGAACTCTCATACTTACCATTTAAACATTTGCATTAATAAAATACTAGTCTATTTTAGAAGACGTGTATTGATCTCTTTTGTTCCACTACTGTCACGGTTTCGGCCGAGGCTGCTCCTCCTCCTGGTTCGGGCAGGCTTCGGCGGTCGTCGTCCCCGGAGTACTAGCTGCCACCGATCTATGTTTCATGTTCGTTTGGTTTTGTCTTGATGTTGTACACCTGTGTCTTGTTAGTCCTCGTTAGTGTCCTATTTAGTTCTCGTTGTGTGTGTTTGTCTTTGTGTGTGATTGCTCTTCTGTTTCGTGTTGGAGCTACGTACTTCCCTCCAGTGTTTTTGGAGAGGTTTTTCGCACATGTTAGTGCGCCGTTTGTTTGACGCCTGTGTGCGCCGTTATTTCGCCTTCGGGCTTATTGTGCTTATTTTCTACGTGAATATTGCACTAAAGTCTTTTGGACTGAGCTTCTGCGTCCTGCGCTTGATTCATGCACCACACCCACCTTCAGCACCCCTTGACAACTACCAGATTTGAATTGACGCAACTTGACACTAATAATTCAATATTAAACTGATTATGGCGGTAGGCCGAGTATGGCATTAGCCATGTAAACACCTTACTCTGTTTATCTTAATCGGTGTACGGTCATAATCGAAGTAAGAATAGTCAGATTAAAACCCCTGGTTTTCTGAGCTATCTTTCGAATTAGTAGGCCAAGTAGGCCTTTATCGGATTTCCTCCAGTGTATTTACTGTGCGCATGTGTGAAATGGGATCGTTTCTTCACACTAAACGCGCGTGTTGATGTTCATTGTATATGGTGTCGAAACGTAACACTTTTGGAGCGAAAACCAAGCTCTGTTCATGTTAAATATCATGAAGGAAATTGGCATTCTTAAGTTTTTAGACGGGCGTACAGTGGGGAAAAAAAGTATTTAGTCAGCCACCAATTGTGCAAGTTCTCCCACTTAAAAATATGAGATAGGCCTGTAATTTTCATCATAGGTACACGTCAACTATGACAGACAAATTGAGAGAAAAAAATTCCAGAAAATCACATTGTAGGATTTTTTATGAATTTATTTGCAAATTATGGTGGAAAATAAGTATTTGGTCACCTACAAACAAGCAAGATTTCTGGCTCTCACAGACCTGTAACTTCTTCTTTAAGAGGCTCCTCTGTCCTCCACTCGTTACCTGTATTAATGGCACCTGTTTGAACTTGTTATCAGTATAAAAGACACCTGTCCACAACCTCAAACAGTCACACTCCAAACACCACTATGGCCAAGACCAAAGAGCTGTCAAAGGACACCAGAAACAAAATTGTAGACCTGCACCAGGCTGGGAAGATTGAATCTGCAATAGGTAAGCAGCTTGGTTTGAAGAAATCAACTGTGGGAGCAATTTTTAGGAAATGGAAGACATACAAGACCACTGATAATCTCCCTCGATCTGGGGATCCACGCAAGATCTCACCCCGTGGGGTCAAAATGATCACAAGAACGGTGAGCAAAAATCCCAGAACCACATGGGGGGACCTAGTCAATGACCTGCAGAGAGCTGGGACCAAAGTAACAAAGCCTACCATCAGTAACACACTACGCCGCCAGGGACTCAAATCCTGCAGTGCCAGACGTGTCCCCCTGCTTAAGCCAGTACATGTCCAGGACCGTCTGAAGTTTGCTAGAGTGCATTTGGATGATCCAGAAGAGGATTGGGAGAATGTCATATGGTCAGATGAAACCAAAATATAACTTTTTGGTAAAAACTCAACTCGTCGTGTTTGAAGGACAAAGAATGCTGAGTTGCATCCAAAGAACACCATACCTACTGTGAAGCATGGGGGTGGAAACATCATGCTTTGGGGCTGTTTTTCTGCAAAGGGACCAGGACGACTGATCCGTGTAAAGGAAAGAATGAATGGGGCCATGTATCGTGAGATTTTGAGTGAAAACCTCCTCCTTCCATCAGCAAGGGCATTGAAGATGAAACGTGGCTGGGTCTTTCAGCATGACAATGATCCCAAACACACCGCCCGGGCAACGAAGGAGTGGCTTCGTAAGAAGCATTTCAAGGTCCTGGAGTGGCCTAGCCAGTCTCCAGATCTCAACCCCATAGAAAATCTTTGGAGGGAGTTGAAAGTCTGTGTTGCCCAGTGACAGCCCCAAAACATCACTGCTCTAGAGGAGATCTGCATGGAGGAATGGGCCAAAATACCAGCAACAGTGTGTGAAAACCTTGTGAAGACTTACAGAAAACGTTTGACCTGTGTCATTGCCAACAAAGGGTATATAACAAAGTATTGAGAAACTTTTGTTATTGACCAAATACTTATTTTCCACCATAATTTGCAAATAAATTCATAAAAAATTCTACAATGTGATTTTCTGGATTTTCTTCCCTGATTTTGTCTGTCATAGTTGACGTGTACCTATGATGAAAATTACAGGCCTCTCTCATCTTTTTAAGTGGGAGAACTTGCACAATTGGTGGCTGACTAAATACTTTTTTCCCCCACTGTAAACACCCAAACGGCGACATGTTCAATAAGGTCTCGGCTAAAATGAGAGCGGGTGGCTTCGTCAGAACAGTGGAACAAATTTGCTGTAGTTGGAAGGTATTAAAACAGGGTTTCTTCAAAGCGAAGCAAAACAACACCAGTGGATCCGATCGGCAGTGAAATGTTTACTGAGATGTTGGGGCATCGACCACTGTCAACAACAGAGAATAGGTTAGACATCGGCTTTGAGGATCAAACCATTGAAGTCAAAAGATGAGGACGTGCCGCCGGACGAGACACCATCAATACCCGTAAATTGACTTGTAAATGATAGGCTAAGTTAGCTAGCTAAATTAGGCATGCTCACACAGAGCTAACCAGGTTGATAGAAACTCACTTTAGCAAACTGTTGGCTAGGGAAAGTAACGTTAAAGCAATTTAGCTAACTATCCCTGATGGATTGCCAACACATACTATGGAGGTGGCCATAGTATGTGGTGGCAAGCCATGTTACAGGGCTAGTAGCAACATTTTTTGAAAGGTAGCTATCAAACTAACATAGCCAGCTAGCAGCAAGCTAGTACTATGTTTTTTTTGTCTTGCACAGGCTGCTGGCTAGTCAGGTAGGAGCTAGCTTAGCTAGCTAACTTGCTAATGGGGACAAAAAAAAGTATGCAATGGTGGCAATAGCAAGCAAATTATATGCAGTTAATGCAGCCTAGTTAGCTAGTTAACTTAGTTTACATCTTGGTGTTGTTCTTTCTTTCAGAGACATCAACAGGTGATTCTGATTAATCTGTGGTTGATCAAGGACGGGAGTCAGAGAGGCCTGCCAATACATCACAGCCAGATGCCCATGGTACATTTACAGCTTTTCAGCAAATAGGTTTATTATAGGTTATATTCATATCAGATTTATTTTATACTAATATGGCCTATTTCTCTGCAGTGTCAGGTGTGACGTCAAGGAGAAGAAGAGGTATCTCGGCAATAGCTAACTGGTCTTCTCAACATCAGACCTTTTTGGAGAGAATGCAGCAGCAGCAAAATATATGGCTGGAGGCTCAGATAGTGCAGAGCCAGGTGAGGGAGGAGTGGCTCATCTCTTTGATTGTGGAGTCCAATGCACGTACCACAGAACATGTGGTGTCTGCTGCTTGAATGCTTCCGAAGCATCCAGCCGCCACCACCACCGCCCCAGCCAATGTTTGTCCCACCTCCCTATCAAGGATACCACACACCTCCCCAAAACTACCATATGCATGCCAATCCTGCCTCAAGCACAGCCTTCTTTGACCAACCAGCCGATGAAGACTAAACTAAATACTTCCAAGACTTAGTTCCAAGACGTAGTTCCTAACATGTTGTTAACTCAGTTCAGTTTAGGGGCTAATAGTTGGCAGTTTATCTATGGCTCTGAAGTCCATGAGCAAGTCCCTAAAAGTGTATTTCTGTTGAACTAGCAACTGTTATTTCTGTATGGGAAATGAGGAGGCCTATCTATGGCCCTGTTTGGATAAAAGTTTGTTTACTTATTCTGAAAAGACAGCAGAATCCAGATTAGTAAAAAAAAAAAAATGCTTTTCTGTATTAACAAAACATGTACAGTTTAAAAACATGTACAGTTAAACTGTAACATACTTTTTTATTTTTAAACAATGTTTATTTCTGTTGGAACTTGCAGCTGTTTGTTCTGTTTTGGAAAGGAAAAGGCCTACACCAGGGCTCCCCAACACTGTTCCTGGAGAACTACCCTCCTGTAGGTTTTCGCTCCAACCCCAGTTGTATCTAACCTAATTATTTGAATCAGGTGTGCTAGATCAGAGTTGGAGTGAAAACCAACAGGATGGTAGCGCTCCAGGAACAGGATTGGAGAGCCTTGGCCTAATTATATGGCTCTGTTTAAACTTGATAAAGCAATGTTGTTTACTTATTTAAAAAAGCAAAATTAATTAATTAAAAAGAAACCTTTTTAGTTAATTAAAGTAAATGTTGCAGTCAAAATAGCTGTGCTTGATAACATTTGTGCAACTTGATAACATGTGCATCTTTAAAACAAAATTCTAAACAAATGTATTTATTAGCTTATCTGCTTTTTTTGCATCAACGATCATTTTCACATATATTATGACAGGATTGCTTTGGCTGAATACAGAAGTGGTAGTAGGCCGTGTACTACTAAGTAGTACTTGTAGTACTACTAAGTCCTATTTAGTCTGACATGTCAGGTCATTTGTTTACATTTCTCGTCTGTGGAGAGGGAAGTTGGCTGTCATGTACATGTGCCTTGCAGCATGACCATCAGCGTTGGTTGCACCAGGTTGAGGTAGGGCTCTCTCCAAAGCTGCTGCTTCCTCCATCCAGCCAGGGTTTACATGCTTCTTTTCTCTCTCACAGCAGTTGTGCAATGCACAACAAGTAGCGACCATGTAAGGTGTAGTGGAAGTCGCTGTGCTTAAGTAGAACCCTCCACTGCGACTTCAGCCTGCCAAATACGATTTCCACTCCGGTCCTGGCAGCACTCAGGTAAATGTTGAATAACTCTTGTTCTGGTTTTATGGCTGGAGACTGGATAGCCAGTCAAGGAGTGGATATACCGGGTCACCAAGAAGGAAAAAGTTCACCTGTATGTCCTTCACTCTAAAGGTAAGATGACAATAGTAAGACATTACACATCATCAAGAAGGTGGGTAAGATATTCAGGTAAGCAGGTAGGCAGCACAGCAATATTGTGTGCGTGTCTCATCTTAGCCATTCTGGCTACAATTAATGTGGGGAGGCATGATGACCATGGAATGGCAGCTAAGCAGGTAGACCGCTGTGTGTTTGTGTGTACCAACCTTTGGGAGTAGGTGAGCCTTCTGAAACAGAGTTGATTGTCTCACTACATTTGCATCATGTGGACTCCCAGGCAGTTTGCAGTTGATGTTCCAAAAGCTGTGTCAGATTAATAATGTACAGATATTAATTACAGATAGATTAGACATTCAAAGTACTTACTTCACATTAATTGAAACGGGTAAACCTTACCAATAGGTATCATCGACAATCCCTTGGAAGAACATAGGAGGGCCAGCCTTTGCGGTTGACAAAGTCCATGTATCTGTCAGTGGGTGGCAGGATAGGGATATGTGCATCCGATGATTTGTGGAGTGTGGCACACCCCCTTAAATCTCTTTGCAATAGTGCAGACCTCCTCCAGCGTTGAGACTTTGATAAGATCTTTGATCACAGAGGATACCATTGCCTCGCAGAACACACACACAAACTTCTTCACTGTTGATTTGTCTACTGCAAACTGATTGGCTACAACACGATATTCCCCACAGTTTCCCAGTTTGTAACGGGCAATTGCCACTCGCGTTTCAAGTGGCACGGCCGCACAAACAGCAATATCATTGGGGCGCAGGCTTCTCTCCATCATGGCGCATAGCTTCTGAAAGGATATTCGGGACATGCGAAAGTGCTCTCCATTCTGCATCAGTAAATTCTATGAGGACCACTCTCTCCCACCAATCCTTACTGCGAACTCGCATCAAACACCCTTGAGTGGTCTGGGGTGGCAAGATTGGTACCTCTCCAACCATGATAACAAAGGAAGATGCCTGCTGCATGAGGGCATGACGGCGTCTTCTGCTTTCCGCCAACGTTGAGAATAATAAAGCTTGATTTAGCGTGTTTTGTAATAGTTGTAAAACCGCAAAAAACACAGCGTACCAAAACACTCAAGTTTTTTTTATCTCTGCTAACTTCCAGTATCCTAGCTAGCTAGCTAACTAGTAGCTATCCTCATTAGCAATTGTTTACTAGGAGAGTACAGGAGTTGACAACAAGTAACTATTGCAGGATCTCGTGGCGTCACTTCCCCTAGATAGTTCGATCATCAAATTAATCCATATATACCGGGATTTTAGGGAAATCGTTTTAATCAAAATATTGCATGAATCTGATTATTCACAGTAATCACACTATTGTGTGCATGTAACCATACTCAAACACAGTCTTGAGTCTCTCCTCAAACACTCTTGCACACTGAGGGCGAGGCACATTCATTGACACTGGCTCTTTCTCAATGATCTAAAAACCTTTCTGTCATTCTGCCTCCAGTTGTCCAGAGAGGACAGCAGCCTGTCTCTCCCCCCTGGAGGATGACCTGTCATGTCCCATCTGCTGTGAGATCTTCACAGACCCGTGCTCCTCTACTGCAGCCACAGCTTCTGCAGGAGCTGCCTGGAGGCCACCTGGAAGCAGGGAGGGACCAAGGTCTGCCCCGTCTGCAGAAACATGTTTCCTGGGGACCAGCCCCCTGCCAGCCTAGCCCTGAGGAGGACGCCTGTGAGACCTTGTGGAGGGAGAAGCAGCCCAAAAAGAGGGTCAAAGAGGAGGCTACATAGGACAAATCTCATGGCGAACCTCCACAGCCTCCAACACCCCAAACACACTACAAGGGCCTACACACTGTGTGGCTGCCACATCCAGAAGCTGGGCTTGTTCTGTGTGAGTGTGTGTCTGAACATGCAGGCCACAGTTTCTGCTCTGTGAAGAAGGCTGCTACCCAGAGGGAGCAGCTCAGAACACCACTGACGGCCCTACTGGATAAAATAGCTGTCGTTGACAAGACCAAACCCTCCTGGGAGAAAATGGCATCTCAAATCGGGGCGCAAGCCCAGAAAACTGAGGGAGGAAGAGCAGAAGAAGAGTAAAAGGATGAATGAGAAATTGGACGATATTAGTAAAGTGATGTCATCTCTGTCCAACAGAATCAGGGAAGTGGAAAAGAAGCAGTCGGGTGATGACACTGCATTCCTGCAAAGCTACAAGACCTAACCCTTGCAGAGGACGAAGAGAGTCTTCCAGACAACCCACATAGGTTGTTTATCATAGACATCCTGGGCTCAGAGGGATTCACCTCAGGGATTCAAGGCTGGGAGGTGGATGTGGGGTACAATGAAGGGTACTGTGAAGAGTTGTTGGTAGGGGTGGCCACAGAGTCCCTTTGGAAAGACGGCCATGGAGACAACTATGAGGATCACATTTTGTCTGTAGGAGTGATGGAAGGACTGGGACAAATGAGTCCTTCTATGATCGTAACCACATCACCTCCAAACCTTTAACCAAACATTTACAGAGCTGGTGTATCCATACCTCTATGTCGGTTTGTTGAACAAGGATCCGCTGTATATTCTACCAATGAAGGTTTCTGTAAACCATGCCAAATAAGAGTGTACTTTAGAGGTGTAATGGTACATGTATTCGTACTGAACCTTTCGGTACGGGGACCTTGGTTCGGTCCACACTGTGAACCCGAATTAATACCTAAAAAATAAATATTTACAAAATGAGAACACAATGCCTATAGGCTATGACTACGCTGCATTGTATGCCTATGCCTCTTGAGTAAATCTGAGCTGAAACAAAAAAACATTTCAGGCTATTCCATTGAAACAACTAGAGACTATGCGCACGTTGTAATACAAATTATCATCTTAATTGACGCATTTCAAACTGTCCTTTTGTGAGGCGCAGCCTGGAACTAGTTCTGTTTGATGGCGAGTGGTGGGGTTGATAAATCAGAATTGGAGGATCCTTAATCATCGTTTAAATCTCCAGTTTGGAAAGACTGGCTTCCCAGTAGATTGCAAGGGCGATGGACAGAGTTGTGGATAAAACATTAACAGTATGTCGCCACGCTCAACGAGAATAGCCTATGCATCTGCCAACACCTCAGATATGTTGACAGATTTTGCCGACATCACCCCAGTATACCGGAGCAAGACGGAAATGCAAAGAAACAACATCTTCTCCCCTCTGCATTGAAGCAGCCCTTGGCATCTGATCTGACTGGGCCAAAGAAATTACAAGAGCGATAGGCTATGTTTATATTGTTTTTTACAGTCTTTAGTTTAAAGCCACGGATGTGCACCTATTCTCGGTGGTTGAGAATAGGGGGTTTCAGCACCTCGTGAACGTGCTCGAGCCACGTTACGAACTTCCCTCTTGCAGCCATTTCAGCAAACAGGTGACCTCTGACAAATTATAGAGTGCAAAAACCACAATACTGTAGATTGCTTTTTATAAATAATGTTTTGTTGTTGCATTTAACTCCCGAGAATGCTGTTATAGAGGCCATTTCCTTACTAAGGAAATGGCCTCTATAACAGCATTCTCGGGAGTTAAATGCAACAACAAAACATTATTTATAAAAAGCAATCTACAGTATTGTGGTTTTTGCACTCTATAATTTGTTAACAAGCCTTATAGTAGTACTTTTAGTTTATGGTTGACAGTTTGTTGGCCGTTAGCCAATCTGCGTTTCTCAATGTGTTCAAATCACATGAATGCATCCAACTGGTATTTAAGACTTCACAACTGGTAAATGCCCACATCCCACATGATTACAAATACTGTCACACCCTGGCTCTGGGGACTCTATATGTTGAGCCAGGGTGTGTAGATTCTATGTGTTTGGTTTCTGTGTTGTAGTTCTATGTGTGCTATTTCTATGTTGGCCAGTGTGGTTCTCAATCAGAGGCAACGAGTGTCAGCTGTAGCTGGTTGTCTCTGATTGGGAACCACATTTAAACTGCCAGTTTACCCACAGTAGTTGTGGGATCTTGTTCCGTTTGGTTTGTTCCGTGTTGGTTGTTAACCTAGGACGTCACGTTGTTCGTTTATTGTTTTGTTCTTGTTTTTTTTATTTCACCTTTATTTAACCAGGTAAGCCAGTTGAGAACAGGTTCTCATTTACAACTGCGACCTGGCCAAGATAAAGCAAAGTAGTGCAATAAAAACAACACAGAGTTACATATGGGGTAAAAAACATAAAGTCAGAAATATAACAGAAAATATATATACAGTGTGTGCAAATGTAGCAAGTTATGGAGGTAAGGCAATAAATAGGCTATAGTGCAGAATAATTACAATAGTATTAACACTGGAATGCTAGATGTGCAAGAGATTATGTGCAAATAGAGATACTGGGGTGCAAAAGAGCAAAATAAATAACAATATAGGGATGAGGTAGTTGGGTGGGCTAATTTCAGATGGGCTGTGTACAGGTGCAGTGATCGGTAAGGTGCTCTGACAACTGATGCTTAAAGTTATTGAGGGAGATAAGAGTCTCCAGCTTCAGAGATTTTTGCAATTCGTTCCAGTCATTGGCAGCAGAGAACTGGAAGGAATGGCGGCCAAAGGAGGTGTTGGCTTTGGGAATGACCAGTGAGATATACCTGCTGGAGCGCAGACTACGGGTGGGTGCTGCTATGGTGACCAATGAGCTAAGATAAGGCGGGGATTTGCCTAGCAGTGATTTATAGATGGCCTGGAGCCAGTGGGTTTGACGACGAACATGTAGTGAGGACCAGCCAACAAGAGCGTACAGGTCACAGTGGTGGGTAGTGTATGGGGCTTTGGAGACAAAACGGATGGCACTGTGATAGACTACATCCAATTTGCTGAGTAGAGTGTTGGAGGCTATTTTGTAAATTACATCGCCAAAGTCAAGGATCGGTAGGATAGTCAGTTTTACGAGGGCATGTTTGGCAGCATGAGTGAAGGAGGCTTTATTGCGAAATAGGAAGCCGATTCTAGATTTAACTTTGGATTGGAGATTCTTTATGTGAGTCTGGAAGTTGAGTTTACAGTCTAACCAGACACCTAGGTATTTGTAGTTGTCCACATACTCTAGGTCAGACCCGTCGAGAGTGGTGATTCTAGTCGGGTGGGCGGGTGCCAGCAGCGTTCGATTGAAAAGCATGCATTTAGTTTTACTAGTGTTTAAGAGCAGTTGGAGGCTACTGAAGGATTGTTGTATGGCATTGAAGCTCGTTTGGAGGTTTGTTAACACAGTGTCCAATGAAGGGCCAGATGTATACAAAATGGTGTCGTCTGCGTAGAGGTGGATCTGAGAGTCACCAGCAGCAAGAGCGACATCATTGATATACACGGAGAAAAGTGTCGGCCCAAGAATTGAACCCTGTGGCACCCCCATAGAGACTGCCATAGGTCCAGACAACAGGCCCTCCGATTTGACACACTGAACTCTATCTGAGAAGTAGTTGGTGAACCAGGCGAGGCAGTCATTTGAGAAACCAAGGCCATAACCTTTGTTATCACTAAAGATAATAAAGTATGTTCGCTCATCACGCTGCGCCTTGGTCTACTCCGTTCAACGATCGTGACAGGAGATCCCACCATACCAGGACCAAGCAGCGTGTCCAGGAGCAGGCAGCCTGGACGTGGGAGCAGATAATGGACGGGCAGGGGTCCTGGACCTGGGAGGAAATCCAGGCCGGGATGGATCGCCGTCCATGGAAGGAGACGGTAGAGGCGCGACGGAGAGAGGAGCAACGGCGTCAACAGTGTCGTCGTCGGACGGACGAGAGGCAACCCCAAAACATTTTTAGGGGGGGGCACACGGCATGGGCGACGGGGCAGCAGGAGGCAGCTACAGGGCGTATTAGGAGGTTAGGTGAGGAGGCCACCAGGTTAAGGGGGCTATTGGTGCAGAGGGAGCAGGAGTTAGTGGTGCAGAGGGTGGAGCTACTGGAGGCGATAAGGGAGAAGGTGAGAATAGAAGCACGGCGAGAGGAACTGTGTAGGCAGCTGAGGGAGCGGAGGGTTATGACGAAACCCAGTCCCGCTCCTCACACCAAGCAAGTGGTGTGCGTCACCAGTCCGGTCCGGCCCGTTCCTGGTCCCCGCACTAAGTTGATGTTGCGCGTCGCCAGCCCGGCCCGGCCTGTTCCTGCCACTCGCACCAAGCCTACGGTGCGCGTCGCCAGCCCGGCCCGACCTGTTCCTGCCACTCGCACCAAGCCTACGGTGTGCGTCGCCAGCCCGGCCCGGCCTGTTCCTGCTCCCCGCACCAAGCTAATGGTGCGCGTCGCCAGCCCGGCCCGGCCTGTTCCTGCTCCCCGCACCAAGCTAATGGTGTGCGTCGCCAGCCCGGCCCGGCCTGTTCCTGCTCCCCGCACCAAGCCTACGGTGCGCGTCGCCAGCCCGGCCCGGCCTGTTCCTGCCACTCGCACCAAGCCTACGGTGTGCGTCGCCAGCCCGGCCCGGCCTGTTCCTGCCCCTCGCACCAAGCCTACGGTGCGCGTCGCCAGCCCGGCCTGTTCCTGCCCCTCGCACCAAGCCTACGGTGCGCGTCGCCAGCCCGGCCCGGCCTGTTCCTGCCACTCGCACCAAGCCTACGGTGCGCATCGCCAGCCCGGCCCGGCCTGTTCCTGCCACTCGCACCAAGCCTACGGTGCGCGTCGCCAGCCCGGCCCGGCCTGTTCCTGCCACTCGCACCAAGCCTACGGTGCGCGTCGCCAGCCCGGCCCGGCCTGTTCCTGCCACTCGCACCAAGCCTACGGTGCGCGTCGCCAGCTCGGCCCGGCCTGTTCCTGCCACTCGCACCAAGCCTACGGTGCGCGTCGCCAGCCCGGCCCGGCCTGTTCCTGCCACTTGCACCAAGCCTACGGTGCGCGTCGCCAGCCCGGCCCGGCCTGTTCCTGCCACTCGCACCAAGCCTACGGTGCGCGTCGCCAGCCCGGCCCGGCCTGTTCCTGCCACTCGCACCAAGCCAGGGGTGCGAGTCGTCAGCCCGGTACGGCCCGTTCCTGCTCCACGCACCAAGCCAGGGGTGCGCATCGTCAGCCCGGTACGGCCCGTTCCTGCTCCACGCACCAAGCCAGGGGTGCGCATCGTCAGCCTGGTCCGGCCCGTTGCTGCTCCACGCACCAAGCCAGGGGTGCGCATCGTCAGCCCGGTCCGGCCCGTTCCTGCTCCACGCACCAAGCCTGGGGTGCGCGTCGTCAGTCCGGCACAACCCGTGCCTGGGTCACCGGTGCCTGGTCAGGTACCGGTCAGTTGCTTCACACCGGAGCTTAAGCAATCCGCTCCTACGATGTCCAGTCCAGCTCCAGCCAGCGGGGCCAGACCGGACCAGGGGCGCTACGGGGGGATTATTGGAGGGTGGTGGGCAAGCCCGGAGCCGGAACCGCCTCCGAGGAGGAATGCCCACCCAGCCCTTCCCTGTTTGGTTTATGTTAAGGCGCGGTCGCAGTCCGCGCCTTTGGGGGGGGGGTACTGTCACACCCTGGCTCTGGGGACTCTATATGTTGAGCCAGGGTGTGTAGATTCTATGTGTTTGGTTTCTGTGTTGTAGTTCTATGTGTGCTATTTCTATGTTGGCCAGTGTGGTTCTCAATCAGAGGCAACGAGTGTCAGCTGTGGCTGGTTGTCTCTGATTGGGAACCACATTTAAACTGCCAGTTTACCCACAGTAGTTGTGGGATCTTGTTCCGTTTGGTTTGTTCCGTGTTGGTTGTTAACCTAGGACGTCACGTTGTTAGTTTATTGTTTTGTTCTTGTTATCACTAAAGATAATAAAGTATGTTCGCTCATCACGCTGCGCCTTGGTCTACTCCGTTCAACGATCGTGACAAATACAGCATCATAGTGGACACTTGAGAGGCCCAACATAACAATCCGGTAACAACAGACAATGCAAGCAACATTGTGAATGCTAAACATTGTGAATGGGATTAAATGTTCCCGCTGTACAAAAACTGAACCGAACTTTGACCACAAAACGTACCTAACTGTGGGTTTGGTGAACCGTTGCATCTCTAGTGTACTTCCATTTGTTTGAATTCTCTACTGAAAGAATGTAAAATGTTGTTAGAAGAGGATTGCTGCAGTGCCATGGGTTACGTTGTTTACGCTGTTCAACTGAACTTTTCTTTTACAAACAGCTGTAATGTTCCAGAACAGATTTTACTCAGTTGCTGTTGAAAGAAAATTGCTGCAGTGGCATTTCTTACATTGTTCATTTAAAATACTTTTACATTTTAAAGTTAAGTATCTGTTTCAACTTTACGAGATAGATCATTAAAGCTTTCAATGTCAAATGTTCCGGTCAATAAATTATTTCGAATAAAGATTATAGCATAAGTAACTAAACAGATTTTTCTTTTGATTGACAGACCAGTAACTAACATGTTACACTTTCAAGAAGGGCATTATTGAAAGTGTAAAGGTACTTGTAAAGGTAGCAAACATTTAAAGGGGCAATCTGGGATTAATACCTCAATTCTTGAAGAATATAACAAACGCCTCACCAGACCCCAAAATATAGCTTGTTTTATTCCATTATTTGTAAACAATGTAATTGTAAAGAAACACTGTATATCTTCTAAACATTGTTAAAACTATCATTTTGGCATCCCGAGTGGCGCAGTGGTCTAAGGCACAGCATCGCAGTGCTTGAGGCGTCACTACAGACCCGGGTTCGATCCTAGGCTGTGTCACAACTGGCTGTGACCGGGAGTCCCATAGGGTGGCGCACAATTGGCCCAGCATCGCCCGGGTTAGGGGAGGGTTTGGCCGGTGGCCTTTACTTGGCTCATTGCACTCTAGCGACTCCTTGTGGCGGGCCGGGCGCCTGCAGGCTGACCTCATCGTCAGTTGAACAGTGTTTCCTCCGACACATTGGTGCGGCTGGCTTCCGGGTTAAGCGGGCGGGTGTTAAGAAGCGTCATGTTTCGGAGGACGCATGACTCGACCTTCGCCTCTCCCGAGCCCGTTGGGGAGTTGCAGCAATGAGACAAGATCTTAATTGGATTGCAATTGAATATCACGAAAAAGGGGTTAAAATAAAAATACAGAAGTATATGGATGGTCAGGCCTTGCATCCATAGCCTTGTCATTAATGGGGTTACATTTCTCCAGCCCCATCCCTCAGCTGTTTACCAAAAAAAGTGTCCGGGTATCCTAATTTTTAGAATTCCAGATTGCTCCTTTAATTGAACAGGAAACTGTGTGTGTGTGTGTAGAACTAAGATAACTTAATTTGTAATAGCCTATTGCTTACACCTCTCCAGTCAACTCTATAAGGGGTGAAGAAACTAGGGGTTGGTTAGGTTTGTAATTGACAACCAGATACTTGGAGCTTGAGATGTGTGATGCAGAGTGATAGAGCAGAGGTTAGAAGTCAGGGGTCGGCTCAGTGCTGATTGAATTAAAGGGGTGTTCAGGGGGAAAGGGGTGTGGCTAAGCTCTGGTAATTCCCCTATAAATCTCATTGTCGGGGGGCATTTACAGGGTAGGTGGTTCTTTACATTGCTTTCACACATTCATACAAACACACACACACAGTTGTGTATTACTATACAACAATTGATTCCCATTCAAAATTATATTTCCCCAAACCCCTAAATCTAACCTTAACCCCTAAGCCTAAAATTGCCTTTTTCCTTTTTAGGACCAGCCAAATGTCCTCACTATTCTTGTGAGGACTTCTGGTCACAAGTATAGTAAAACAAAACAAAAAACACACACAGACAGGCTACATACCCGACGCCCAACAGTTGTGAAGGGTGAATCATCAGTTTAACCTTATCTGTCCTGCAAGGTCATTAGATTTGAATGTTCAACCCCCTCAGGGTCTGTTTGGTAGAGCCCAGAGGGTTTTGAAGTGGTTTTGGCATTGGATCAGAACACTCCATCTTCATAATGGGGGAGCCATTCAAGAGGGCCAGAGGGAAAGACAAGCAGCTGTTATTCTTAGAAACACCCAGATGACTTGTCAGATTGATTGTGTGTGTGTGTGTGCGTGTGTGTGTGTATGTGATCTGCTGTCTGCGGATAGTGGCTCTGTGTCAGAGATAGGTGACACACATTCACTAACAGCTCTCATTATACCCTATGGGCTCCTAGCACCATGTCAACCATCACACACAACACACTGACACATGCTCTCGCACATTCAATATGGGCCTGACTAACTGCCTTGATCCCCAGCAATATTGTCATAATATTATCCTCAGCTCCCATTTCAACAGCCTGACCGGCCACCCCCTGCGCTGACAGACACAATCCCTCTATCCCCCTCCTCTCCTAGATATGTTCTATCAACCACATGGTTCCTTCACTCTATTCTTTTTCTGTGTCGTTTTATTTCACTTTTACAACACTGCTTGTGTTCAAAAGCTCTTTGATCATTCTTACACACAAACACTTTCTCTCTTGTGCGTGTGTGGTGTGTCCTTGGCAAAGCTGGGTGACAGAGAGACAGGGACCCTGTAGCTAGGGCTGGTAGGAGATTGATGTGAAGAAAAAATGCCAGCTTGAGGGGCAAACGCATGTACACACACTCATCTGTGGCGTAGAGGTGTGGTCTGATAGGAGCTGTGAGCGTGTGAAGAGAAGCCCTGGGTGGGATGGATTTCCGAATGCACTATAGATGTGGACACAAAAGAGATAATGTGCTGGCACTTAGCAACATCATTTAACAGCTAGGATACTGCAGAGTTCAAACACACACCATCATGACAGGTATTACTGTGACAGTCAGATACTGTTATCACTGACAGAGACAAAATACAGTGAGGGAAAAAGTATTTGATCCCTGCTGATTTTGTACGTTTGCCCACTGACAAACAAATGATCAGTCTATAATTTTAATGGTAGGTTTATTTGAACAGTGAGAGACAGAATAACAACAAAAAAATCCAGAAAAACGCATGTCAAAAATGTTATAAATTGATTTGCGTTTTAATGAGGGAAATAAGTATTTGACCCCCTCTCAATCAGAAAGATTTCTGGCTCCCAGGTGTCTTTTAAACAGGTAATGTGCTGAGATTAGGCGCACACTCTTAAAGGGAGTGCTCCTAATCTCAGCTTGTTACCTGTATAAAAGACACCTGTCCACAGAAGCAAATCAATCAATCAGAGTCCAAACTCTCCACCATGGCCAAGACCAAAGAGCTCTCCAAGGATGTCAGGGACAAGATTGTAGACCTACACAAGGCTGGAATGGGCTACAAGACCATCGCCAAGCAGCTTGGTGAGAAGGTGACAACAGTTGGTGCGATTATTCGCAAATGGAAGAAACACAAAATAACTGTCAATCTCCCTCGGCCTGGGGCTCCATGCAAGATCTCACCTCATGGAGTTGCAATGATCATGAGAACGGTGAGGAATCAGCCCAGAACTACACGGGAGGATCTTGTCAATGATCTCAAGGCAGCTGGGACCATAGTCACCAAGAAAACAATTGGTAACACACTACGCCGTGAAGGACTGAAATCCTGCAGCGCCCGCTAGGTCCCCCTGCTCAAGAAAGCACATATACAGGCCCGTCTGAAGTTTGCCAATGAACATCTGAATGATTCAAAGGAGAACTGGGTGAAAGTGTTGTGGTCAGATGAGACCAAAATCGAGCTCTTTGGCATCAACTCAACTCGCCGTGTTTGGAGGAGGAGGAATGCTGCCTATGACCCCAAGAACACCATCCCCACCGTCAAACATGGAGGTGGAAACATTATGCTTTGGGGGTGTTTTTCTGCTAAGGGGACAGGACAACTTCACCGCATCAAAGGGACGATGGACGGGGCCATGTACCGTCAAAATCTTGGGTGAGAACCTCCTTCCCTCAGCCAGGGCATTGAAAATGGGTGGTGGATGGGTATTCCAGCATGACAATAACCCAAAACACACGGCCAAGGCAACAAAGGAGTGGCTCAAGAAGAAGCACATTAAGGTCCTGGAGTGGCCTAGCCAGTCTCCAGACCTTAATCCCATAGAAAATCTGTGGAGGGAGCTGAAGGTTCGAGTTGCCAAACGTCAGCCTCGAAACCTTAATGACTTGGAGAAGATCTGCAAAGAAGAGTGGGACAAAATCCCTCCTGAGATGTGTGCAAACCTGGTGGCCAACTACAAGAAACGTCTGACCTCTGTGATTGCCAAAAAGGGTTTTGCCACCAAGTACTAAGTCATGTTTTGCAGAGGGGTCAAATACTTATTTCCCTCATTAAAATGCAAATCAATTTATAACATTTTTGACATGCGTTTTTCTGGATTTTTTTGTTGTTATTCTGTCTCTCACTGTTCAAATAAACCTACCATTATAGACTGATCATGTCTTTGTCAGTGGGCAAACGTACAAAATCAGCAGGGGATCAAAAACGTTTTTCCCTCACTGTAACTTGTCTCGCTGCAGATCACTCAGGTTCCTTCTCTCTCTCTCTCTCTCTCTCTCGCGTTCTCTCCTCCAGCAGTGTATTTCACACCCCACTTTCCACTCCTCCACCAATCAAACACACACACACCATCTTGGCATGTCTTCAGAGAGTGTGTCTCAGTGATGTTGAACTATTAATGGTGTCATGGCTGCTTGTAGTGATGTTTTCATACACAGCCACTCTCTGACTACACACTCGCAGGGTGTGTGTGTGTACACGTTCCAAACAGAGGATGAAAGACTGATGACTCAGAGGAATACACGGTTACAGAAGAAGGTGACTGGCTGGCTGGCTGACTGTCTCTCTCTCTCTCGATGCATGAAATAAAACAGCGTTTGTTGGAAGACAAATCCCTAAAGCAACCTGTGATAGCACATATCACATTACAGAGGAGAGGAGAGGGGGAGAGTAGAGGATAAGACAGGATGAGAGGGGAGGAGAGGATAAGACAGGATGAGAGGCAAGAGGCTAAGACAGAATGAGAGGGGTGAGGATAAGACAGGATGAAAGGGGAGAGGAGAGGATAAGACAGGATGAGAGGGGGAGAGGATAAGACAGGATGAGAGGCGAGAGGATACGACAGGATGAGAGGGGAGAGGAGAGGATAAGACAGGATGACAGGCAAGAGGATAAGACAGGATGAGAGGATAAGACAGGATGTGAGGGGAGAGGATAAGACAGGATGAGAGGCGAGAGGATGAGAGGGGAGAGAAGAGGATAAGACAGGATGAGAGGCGAGTGGAGAGGATAAGACAGGATGAGAGGGGAAAGGAGAGGATAAGACAGGATGAGAGGTGAGAGGAGAGAGGACAGTATAGAACCAGTACATGTACAGTACTTTGTTCTACAAGTACACACCCACACATAAACACACAAACAAACACACAGATCCCTGGTGTGTCTCAAGGCTGCGTGTTAGTATGTAACATGTAAATGAGCAGCAGTCCTCCAATAAGAGGTCTGGGACTGAAACACATGTCATATGACTGTTGACAATGTCAATAAGGTGTTTATTTGGAACACTGGAGATTCACTAACTCAAAGGTGAAGGCCTTTAGGGAGGGAGACATGCTTTCTGCTGTATTGACATGAATATGAAACATAAAAACTGTTTTAAGTGAGAAGTAGGGGGGAGTGAGATGGGGGGACATGGATGAATTTGTGGAGAGAGCCGGGAGGTGAAGACCAACACACAGCGAAACACACACACATACATATATGTGTGAGCATGAGCGAGCTAGTAGCTAGTAGCCAGATCCAGACAGACAGACAGACAGACAGACAGACAGACAGACAGACAGACAGACAGACAGACAGACAGACAGACAGACAGACAGACAGACAGACAGACAGACAGACAGACAGACAGACAGATAGACAGACAGACAGACAGACAGACTTGTAATAACCCAATAGCTAGTTCATAATGACAGGTGTAGTGGTGTATTCCGTTGGGCTGACAGAACTGGAGCCCCTGTGTATTGGGAAGGGGGGTACACTAGTTAGACAACAGCTGGTAGGGAGAGGGAGAGAGAGAAACCTGGCCTCTCTCTGCTGCCAATCTCTCTCTCTCTCTCTCTCTCTCTCTCTCTCACACACACACACACACACACACAAAGCTATGGACGACTGGGGTTGATCTTAAATGTCAGCCCAACAAACTCTCACAGTCTCACTTCAGAATTCAACGTTTGTCCATAAACGTCGCATTTCGAAAGTTAAGTTTAGGCATTAATTCTGAATGGTTAAGGTAAGGGTTAAGGTTTGGGATAGGGTTAAAACATAAACAACTTGACGGTTAAGCTGAGGCATTAATTCAGAATGGTTATGGTAAGGGTTAAAGTTTGGGATAGGGTAAAAAAAATATTTGTAAAAAACAAGTGCCAAAGAGTGGGATTGACAAGCGACCCTCGGAGCTGGAACTCGCGGTTTACGCCCATCTGTCATCCCCGTCCACAGCGCTCTAGCAAACCGCAAGCCTACTTGATGGTAATAGCGCTCACCGTTGTGGCCGTTTTTTAAATAATCTCCCGACGTCATGGGTATCTGGACGGACGTCGAATTTAGCCTTGGATCTTGAGCGACCTGGCTGCCCAGCCTGATCAATAATGCAGTGTGTGTGTGTGTGTGATATTTGTTTATGCTTGTGGCTGGTGCCAACCTCATAGTTTGTTCATGAATACGGTTAACTGCATGGAGCTTTTCCAAGAACAAAAACACACACACCAAGACGCACGCGTGCACGCACACACGCATTAGAATGAAAATGTGATGTTAGAATGAAAATGTGTTGCCAAGGTGTGTGTTTAGCAGTTGTGAGGTGTGTTGGCTGTAGTGAGCGCTACAACAGCTTGACTGGGAGTGCCTGATTCTAGGTAGTAGTGCTTTTGAGTGTGTGTGACGTGTCTTCAATTAACTTCCAAACACACGCTTCTGCTTCAATTATATACAGTATATGATTGTGTCTGTAGTTCATTTATGATTATGTTACTGGCAGTCATTACAGTCTATTATAGAACATTGTATAGTGGATGTATACACACGCTCACGTATGCATACATACACTACCAGTCAAAAGTTTGGACACACCTATTCATTCATTTTTTGCATGGTAGAATAATAGTGAAGACATCAAAACTATGAAATAACACATATGGAATCATGTAGTAACCAAACAAGTGTTAAACAAATCAAAATATATTTTATATTTGAGATTCTTCAAATAGCCACCCTTTGCCTTGATGACAGCTTTGCACACTCTTGGCATTCTCTCAACCAGCTTCATGAGGTAGTCACCGGGAAGGCATTTCAATTAACAGGTGTGCCTTCTTAAAGGTTCATTTGTGGAATTTCTTTCCTTCTTAATGCGTTTGAGCCAATCAGCTGTGTTGTGACAAGGTAGGGGGGTATACAGAAGATAGCCCTATTTGGTAAAAGACCAAGTCCATATTATGGCAAGAACAGCTCAAATAAGCAAAGAGAAACGACAGTCTATCATTACTTTAAGACATGAAGGTCAGTCAATATGGACAATTTCAAAAACTTTGAACGTTTCTTCAAGTGCAGTCACAAAATCCATCTAGCGCTATGATGAAACAGGCTCTCATGAGGACCGCCATAGGAATGGAAGACCCAGATTTACCTCTGCTGCAGAGGATAAGTTCATTAGAGTTACCAGCCTCAGAAATTGCAGCCCAAATAAATGCTTCACAGAGTTCAAGTCACAGACACATCTCAACATCAACTGTTCAGAGGGGACTGTGTGAATCAGGCCTTCATGGTCGAATTGCTGCAAAGAAACCACTACTAAAGGACACTAAGAAGAAGAAGAGAACTGCTTGGGCCAAGAAACACAAGCAATGGACATTAGACAGATGAAAATGTGTCCTTTGGTCTGGAGTCCAAATTGGAGATTTTTGGTTCCAACCGCCGTGTCTTTGTGAGACACGGTGTGGGTGAACGGATTATCTCTGCATGTGTAGTTCCCACCGTAAAGCATGGAGGAGGAGGTGTTATGGTGTGGGGGTGCTTTGCTGGTGACACTGTCTGTGATTTATTTAGAATTCAAGGCACACTTAACCAGCATGGCTACCACAGCATTCTGCAGCGATACGCCATCCCATCTGGTTTGGGCTTAGTGGGACTATCATTTGTTTTTCAACAGGACAATGACCCAACACACCTCCAGGCTGTGTAAGGGCTATTTTACCAAGAAGGAGAGTGATGGAGTGCTGCATCAGATGACCTGGCCTCCACCCAATTGAGATGGTTTGGGATGAGTTGTACGGCAGAGTGAAGGAAAAGCAGCCAACAAGTGCTCAGCATATGTGGGAACTCGTTCAAGGGTGGTTATTTGAAGAATCTCAAATATAAACTATATTTTGATTTGTTTAACACTTTTTTGGTTCCTACATGATTCCATATGTGTTATTTCATAGTTTTGATGTCTTCATTATTATTCTACAATGTAGAAAATAGTTGAAATAAAGAAAAACCCTTGAATGAGTAGGTGTGTCCAAACTTTTGACTGGTACTGTACATATTGCTCCATCTTGTCAACCCTTTTCTCTTTCTCCTTTTGTTTCCAAGGCTACTTCTCCCTCTGTTCCTCTGCCCCTGTTGACTGTACTGCTAGGTGGATGTGAACAGATCTACAGGATTTCAACCAGGTGGGGGAACATGTATTGGGGAAAAACATTGTCACCACCACACTGTAACTGAACAGGAGAAAGGATACATGCTGAAATGGATCAATGAGATTAGAAACCCTGAGGGTTGAGAGGGGAGAGGACAGGGTAGTACAAAGGTCCACAGACTGAACAGACAGAGAGTACAGAGACAAGCTGTGTTAGTTAATTTCATACTATTGTGTGTGTGTGTGTGTGTGTGTGTGTGTTTAGCAGCTAGTAGCCAGATCTCAGCAGACAGACAGATAGACAGGCAGACAGACAAACTCGTAATAACTCAAAGCAAACACATTCGACGGTACCTCTTCACCAAACACTGCAAAACAGCAAACACAATTACAGAGGCTCATCTGTTTGGCAGAAACCCCAGTCTGGCCTGGAACCTAGCATGGCAACTCTCAGTGCCATCTCCATATGTGCCACCAACTGGGTGGGTGGGTGGGGGGGGGAGAGAGGGAGAGGGAGAGAGAGAGGAATTGAACGTTCAGCATTTTCCTGATCAGATATGGTAAATGCCGCACTTTCCAGCTTATCTCAAAGTCAGAGATATTACTTTAGATCAATTAATTATTAAGAGATTTAAGAGAAACTTGAAAGACTTAAGATAAACTTTTTTTTATTTCAGACGATGTTGGAGGACACTGATGTATCTGATGTGATCTGTTAAACCAATGAAATATTTCCCTAACTGGTAGTTGTTAACCGGGAAGACAAAGAGTGGTGTAGACACATTTTACCAATATGCATGACTACACAGTCTTGGATTTTCTCGGACACTTTCTGTTGCTACTGTGATATTAGAGAAAGTGAGTGCGTGTGTGTCAAATCAAATCGTATTGGTCACATACACATATTTAGCAGACGTTATTGCGGGTGTAGCGAAATGCTTGTGTGTGTGCGTGTTTTCGTTCCCCCTCTCTATCTCTCTCCTCTCTTTTTCTCCCATGTCTATCTCCAAGCCAAAACATCAGGACCTCAACTCACAACCTGTCTACTACCCCCCCCATCTCTCTCCCACTCCCGCTGTCCCCCTGCTGTCTCGCTCTTCCTGCTGTCTATTCCAGACTTTCGTGTGGCTAAACTGCACATTCTAAATATCGCCACTGATGCCATAAAGACAGAAAAGCCTGGACATGGTACATGATGCTCCCAAGAGCTTCATTCAAGTACAAACATTGAAAACATCTCCATAGCCATCTCTGTGTTTGTGTGTCTGTGTGTAGAGACTGGCATATTTCCAATAATTATCAGCTACCAACAGCTGATTCCTCTGATCTGACGCAAATGGGCTGAAGAGTGTGTGTGTGTGTGTCAGTGTGTGTGTTAGCCCCTGGGGGGACAGTGGTGATCTATATCACCAGTGCAGGAGATAGCATGGTGTCATTGACTTCAGATTGATCCTAGGGCTGTCCCTGACTAAAGAAAATCTTGGTTGACCAAGAGTTGTCTGTTGGTCGAAATTGGTTGACATTTTTAAATGTGCATTTTTCCATATATAGACACATCCTATGCATGTGTTTTAATCAAATCAACGATATGCACTGAGCTTGTCTGATGCTTTAAGGGAACTGTTTGATGAAATAATTAAGACAAACAAATTACTAGAGGGAGTCCGACCACAATTGATTTGATTGTGCCGGGCCGGGCTCAGCCTTGCTGCGCTGTGTTAAAAAAACAGCGAGTGACTGTGTGACTAGCACCCATTGCCTCTCTCTCCTCCCTGCTGCAGCGACGATCAACAGTGTGTATCGCGCTGTCCATGTTGCTGAAGCTGCAACATAATTATAGCCATTTCTAACTGAAAAGTTATGTTACCGAAATACCTCATTTGTTTAGGAAAAACATTCCCTATTCCCTCAACCTTTGCTCTCTTTACGTGACACATGTATGCACCAATAGGGCCTGATGTATAGCATATCATAATCACATCAATAAATTGGTCATAACAAACTCAGAACACCATAACACATGACAGCAAAATGGATGCAGAGGATGTAATGGGAATGTTTACTGGTTGCTCAGGAGGTAAAGGGGAAGTCAGATGTGTGGAATCAATTTGACTAGTTGTGGAAAATACTGGCGATCAAGAAAAAAAAGGTAAGGAGCAAGCACTGCGTGCATATTATGTGTGCCAAACAGGTGCTTTTAGATTACAATATATTTTTTCTGACCGTTTGGAACAATGTAAACAACACTAAAGAAATTATATGTTTTTTTGTAACGCAAGTTACGGTATGAAGACTAAACAGGATGCGCTCTTAGGCCTACAGCTCGATTGTAGCAGGTGATTTAACGGAGTCAGGTGCAGGAGGTGTAAATCACAGAATCAATGGTTTATTAGGCCAATACAGCGGTTCGCAGCAATGCGTAAAACAACTACAGTGCGGTATAACGGCGCACTGGAGAAAAACAAAATACACGGGTGAATATCCTGGCAATACAGTACATAAAGCTCCACCGAGCTATCGACAGCTCCACGAGACAATCACACACAAGGACATGGGGGGCAGAGGGAATACTTATACAGGGACTGATGAGGGAATATGAACCAGATGTGTATAAAAACAAGACAAAACAAATGAAATGATGAGATGAGGAGCGACAGTGGCTAGAAGGCCGGTGACGACGAACGCCGAAGCCTGCCTGAACAAGTAGAGGAGGCAGCTTCAGAGGAAGTCGTGACATCGATGGTGGTTATATAAGACTGCTATAGTAAGCCTACTAATGATAATGACATTACTTATTATTACAATGATGATCATAATAATAGTAATAATAACAATAAGAAGGAGATCAAGGAAAAAGGAGGGTTATTATTATTATCATAATTATAATTATTATAAATATACTTTTTCTGACAATTTGGAAAAGTGTAAACAACACTAAATAAATTATAAATAATACCAGAGAGGCTGGTCTAACAAAAAAAGTGTATAGCCTTTATCCAAACCATCTCAATTGGGTTGAGGTCGGGGGATTGTGGAGGCCAGGTCATCTAATGCTGCACTCTATCACTCTCCTTCTTGGAAAATAGCCCTTACACAGCCTGGAGGTGTGTTGGGTCATTGTCCTGTTGAAAAACAAATGATAGTCCCACTAAGCCCAAACCAGATGGGATGGCGTATCGTTGCAGAATGCTGTGGTAGCCATGCTGGTTAAGTGTGCCTTGAATTCTAAATAAATCACAGACAGTGTCACCAGCAAAGCACCCCCACACCATAACACCTCCTCCTCCATGCTTTACGGTGGGAACTACACATGCGGAGATCATCTGTTCCCCCACACCGCGTCTCACAAAGACACGGCGGTTGGAACTAAAAATCTCCAATTTGGACTCCAGACCTAAGGACAAATTTCCACCGGTCTAATGTCCATGGCTCTTGTTTCTTGAACCAAGCAGGTCTCTTCTTCTTATTGGTGTCCTTTAGTAGGGGTTTCTTTGCAGCAATTCGACCATGAAGGCCTGATTCACACAGTCCCCTCTGAACAGTTGATGTTAAGATGTGTCTGTGACTTGAACTCTGTGAAGCATTTATTTGGGCTGCAATTTCTGAGGCTGGTAACTCTAATGAACTTATTCTCTGCAGCAGAGGTAAATCTGGGTCTTCCATTCCTGTGGCGGTCCTCATAAGAGCCAGTTTCATCATAGCGCTTGATGGTTTTTGAAACTGCACTAGAAGAAACTTGACATTTTCCGTATTGACTGACCTTCATGTCTTAAAATAATGATGGACTGTCGTTTCTCTTGGCTTATTTGAGCTGTTCTTGCCATAATATGGACTTGTTCTTTTACCAAATAGGGCTATCTTCTGTGTACCCCCCTACCTTGTCACAACACAACTGATTGGCTCAAATGCATTAAGAAGAAAATAAATTCCACAAATTAACTTTTAAGAAGGCACACCTGTTAATTGAAATGCATTCCAGGTGACTACCTCATGAACCTGGTTGAGAGAATGCCAAGAGTGTTCAAAGCTGTCATCAAGGCAAAGGGTGGCTATTTGAAGAATCTCAAATATAACATGTATTTTGATTTGTTTAACACTTTTTTGGTTACTACATGATTCCATATGTGTTATTTCATAGTTTTGATGTCTTCACTATTATTCTACAATGTAAAAAATAGTAAAAATAAAGAAAAACCCTTGAATGAGTAGGTGTGTCCAAACTTTTGACTGGTACTGTATATGGATGATTTAGAAAGCCAGGCACATTTAACAGTTGTGCTATTGATTACAGACCAAACTAAGTTTGGGTTTCCTCTCACCACACTTTTCTTATACAATTAAGGCAAGGGATGTTTTCTTGTCTCCTAACTCCGCTGCTGCCACTACCGCATTGTTCTCAACACCAATATGCTGGTTAACTTTGCTATTATGCACATAGCAACCAGTGGAGGCTGCTGAGGGGAGGACGGCTCATAATAATGGCTGGAACGGATACCATTCCACTTATTCCGCTCCAGCCATTACCAATAGATCGTTCTCCCTAATTAAGGTGCCACCAACCTCCTGTGATAGCAACATGGTCTAGGAAAAGGCGCCAATTCAACAGCGGACTGATGTCTTTCAGAACCGCTGACAGCGACCACTATCCAACGTCAGAAAAAGCGCACCATTGTTCTTACATAATATAACCATATACAATTTCAGTAGCAAACGTCTTAGACTGATGGACTGTGCCATCCCCACGGCCTCCACAATGGATGAGTCCACTCAGACAGGCACGAATCAGACCGGTATCTTTTACACCATGATTTTTTATACATATTTTTTGCTACTGCTCAACTAAAGAAATCTCGGTCGACCAACAGCCTATCAACCAAACAGTCGACCAGTCGACTAAATTGGGTCAGCCCTAATTGACCCTAAAGCTAGACCACAACACTGATAGTCACATACACTATATATATACAAAAGTATGTGGACACCCCTTCAAATTAGTGGATTTGGCTATTTCAGCCACACCCATTGCTGACAGGTGTATAAAATCAAGCACACAGCCATGCAATCTCCATAGACAAACATTGGCTGTAGAATGGCCTTACTGAAGAGCTCAGTGACGTTCAACGTGGCACCGTCATAGGATGCCACCTTTCCAACAAGTCAGTTCGTCAAATTTCTGCCCTGCTAAAGCTGCCCCAGTCAACTGTAAGTGTTGTTATTGTGAAGTGGAAACGTCTAGGAGCAACAACAGCTCAATTGCGAAGTGGTAGGCCACACAAGCTCACAGAACGGGACCGCTGAGTGCTGAATCGCGTAGCGCGTAAAACTTGTCTGTCTTCGGTTGTAACACTCACTACCGAGTTCCAAACTTCCTCTGCAAGCAACGTCAGCACAAGAACTGTTCGTCGGGAGCTTCATGAAATGGGTTTCCATGGCCGAGCAGCCACACACAAGCATAAGATCACCATGCGCAATGCCAAGCGTCGGCTGGAGTGGTGTAAAGCTCGCCGCCATTGGACTCTGGAGCAGTGGAAACGCATTCTCTGGAGTGATGAATCACACTTCACCATCTGGCAGTCCGACGGACAAATCTGGGTTTGGCGGATGCCAGGAGGACGCTACCTGCCCGAATGCATAGTGCCAACTGTAAAGTTTGGTGGAGGAGGAATAATGGTCTGGGGCTGTTTTTCATAGTTTGGGCTAGGCCCCTTAGTTCCAGTAAACAGAAATGTGAACGCTACAGCATACAATGACATTCTAGATGATTCTGTACTTCCAACTTTGTGGCAACAGTTTGGGGAAGGCCCTTTCCTCTTTCAGCATGACAATGCCCCCGTGCACAAAGCGAGGTCCATACAGAAATGGTTTGTCAAGATCGGAGTGGAAGAACTTGACTGGCCTGCACAGAGCCCTGACCTCAACCTCATCTAACACCTTTTTCCTTGTGCGGACTGGTGAAATGTCCCCACTTGGACGAATTTTCCTTGTTTTACTATCCTTCTGAGAACTTCTGGTCCCCACAAGGATAGTAAAACCAAAAACATACAAACACAGGCGCACAGACGCACGCACACACACACAGCACAGGGCCCCTCATACTCCTTCCCTGTAATTACCCATCCTATGAGATTGTTCATTAATCCTCGCCTGGAAATAGACTCACACACCCCGTTATTAGTGGCTACATAATGATATCTCTCTCTCACTCTCTTCCCCTCCATCTCCCTCTCTCTATTATGGCAGCACCAGCACCAGTCTTCTCTTAGAAGAACACAGATTCTTATTCCAGAAGCTTCCCGGAAACGGCTGAGGTACCGGGGAATTCCCAAATCCAACACAGAGAACAGAATTCCCAAACAGAGAATATGGGACACTGGCTGCATTCCTCTGGGTTGCTATTTGAAATGGGAATGCTGGGAAAAGCTGCTGTACAGAGTCTGGTGTTCAACTGGGCTTATGGTCAGGATTAAAACTAAAGCCCAAACCCTTTCCAGCTGACTATACAGGCATAAGTGTAGCCCTCTCACACTCAGTATGAAGCCCACTGAAACACTAACTCCATAATTAACCAACACAACATAACCACTGTTTAATAACAACTTGTACTTTTATTCCAACTCCCGTATTCATCCATTTATCCACCTCTCTCTTCACGTCTCATTTTTCCCACACCCCTCCTAATGGCCAATCCATCCCTCTCTCCAAATGTCTCCTTCCTCCACACTGCAACTCTACAAAGGAACCCAACTGTGTGAGTGGGAGAGAAAGAGAGAAAGGTGGGCAGAGAGGAGGGATTGGGGTGCTGTGCTTCGCTGAGAAAGCAGAGTTGGTGGGCTCTGACTGTGTGTGAACAGATGTCTGTGTGTGTGTGTGTGTGTGTGTGTGTGTGTGTGTGTGTGTGTGTGTGTGTGTGTGCACGCGCTTCTGTGTGTGCAAGTGTGTAAGAACATCTCCAAATTAATAACAGCCAATTAAGCCCACTATGGTGCTAGCCTGCACCGAGGCTCATTAGAGGTGTGTGTGCAATAGTACGCATGTGACAGCAGGAAATAGATGCTGACGATGTGCGCTTTTCATCACATTATCACACTGTCTCATGGATGAGAGGCTGCAGACTGTCTTCATCTGGTGTTAGTCTTTTAATAGGAGAGGAGAAGGAGAGGAAGTGAAAGGAGAGGAGGAGAGGATGTTATTTTCTCAACGCACTCATTAACCGTTCTGTTGCATGTGGAACCAAATGTTTAGGAGTGCATGATTTTTAAACCCCAGCACACACACAACTAACTGCCAATCAGATATCATTTAGGCCTACACCAGTACAATGCACATAACTGTTTTATTCAAAGCCTGCATTGTGTACCCTTGAGTTGAAACAGTGGATTGGGCATTATAATTTTTTTTCATGAATGGTGCATTTTATAGGTTTATATACAGGATTATATTTGGTGTGTGTTTGTGTGTCGTGTGAGAAAATTATTTCTGTACTTGACTTAATACTGCCCTCTGGTGTTTATGATGCAACATCACTGCCCAACCAAAACAGTTTGGTGTTTTGATGTTTGTGGGTCTGAAAGCTGCTTCAAAGGTGAAAGCTACATGAGAACATGACCAAAAAACATGCTCCCAGGGTTTTTGTCTCAGAGGCAGACCTTTCAGGGTACATATGGGCCTTCATATGTAAATCTGTAGTGACAGACTGACCACTTCAAAACCTTTCATAGAGACCATGACTGACTAATAGAGCTAAACATGGTATAGTTTGGAGAGCTTAACACCTCACAGAGAAAGAGAGAGCTTTCTAGAACAACAGAGCCAGGGTTGGTGACCACGGTCTAAATAAAGGACCAGTATAGACAGAAAACTCAGTCAGCAATCAATCAGAAAGAGCATTTTTTTTTCAAAATGCATGGTCTTTCTAAGCTTCATCCATCTGTCCATTGAAATTAAGAGCCATCAAACGTTTGAGTTAGGCTACTTAGTTTCTCACCACTGTGAACCCTGAGTGCTCAATGCACCTGTAAGTGAAAAAGCCTCTTTCAATATGCCAATCTGCCTAGCAACAACTATACAGAAACCCAGTGAAGGCTGAAAGAGGAGAGGGCAACTCCCAAACAGCAAAGAGCTCCAGACAGAAAACAGGAAGGTTGTATGGGAGAAAAAACACTCCAAGGCTTTTCACTCCGGCGACACGGCTCCATCTAAATGACAAAGACACAAAGACCAGTTAAAGCGGAGCACGAAACACACCGACAAAAGGAGAGAAAGAAGAGAAAAAAATAGAAAAACAAAAACAACGTCTGTGCACCTTACACACACACACACACACACACACACGCACACCTCTTTTCACTATGCTTTTGTGCCCCTGCTTCTGTTTTCCCTGTTGCCTCTCAGCTCCCATGCCCAACTCTTCCGTGTGTGTGTGTGTGTGTGTGTGTATGTGTGTGTGTGTGCCTGTGCGTTTGTGTGCGTGTAGCCTGCTGTGCCAACAGAGAAGTCGACGGGGTGCAGCGGATTGGCGACCGGAGGAAGAGAAGCTGACAGTAAATAAAAGAGAGCGAGGCCAGGCTGAAGGAAGTAGCTTTCTCAGAGTGGTAGTTCATTACACCTGACCTTCACACTGACCCACAGAGAATACAGTAGCAGGACCACTGCTATGACACCGTCACCGGGCCACACACACACACCCAGAAGCAGTTTCCGTCTATTCTCTTCAGTATCGAGAGGGGAAGTGGAGTGGAGCTGGCCCAGACCCAGAGAGAGAGCGATAACCGAGCCAGCCTGGAAAAGCCTTTCTAGGTTCTGACTCCTTACAAAGACCCCTGACTCTCAGTCTCTCTCTCGCTCTCTCAATCTCTCGCTCTCTCTCTCTGTCTCACACTTTGTCTCTCTCATTTGTTTAGTGGCTGTATGTTCTAGTATAGACTGGAATAAAGTCAGGCCTACCTTGGGCCATTTGGGGTTAAGCAGGCGGGCTTTGAGGGCGTCATCCAGGGCGGTCTGGTACTGTCCCAGATGGAGAAGGGCCGCAGAGCGGTTACTGTACAGGATGCAGTTCTGAGGGTCCGCAGACAGGGCCTCCCCGTAGAGCTGCACCGCCAGGCTGTACTGCCCTTGCTGGCATGCCTGATTACTGCGACGCACTGCCTCCAGAAACTCTGCCTTAGAAAGGATAGGAGGCCCGGGAGGGATGGAGGGAGGGATGGAAGGATGAGGGTCTGTCTGACAGAGAGGGGGAGGGATGGGGCGAGCAGAGGTACAGGACGAAGAGGACGAAGAGGGAGGGTTGGTGGTTCGGGTAGAAGAGCGAGGGCCGAAGAGAGAGAACTGAGGAGGAGAGGAGAGAGGGGGGAGGAAGAAGAGAAATGTGGGGAGGAGTGGTCAGTTATCTTTTCATTCAATCAGATACATTTTTCTCAACATTACAGTAATTTTACAATCCAGAGGAGCATGTCAATAAACATCTGAGATTCTAATATGTTCCACCAAAACATCAAAGCAATGTTTATATCAGCATTTGATATAGTGTGTGTGTGTGTGTGTATGTAATGTGCACGTTGAGGTTAGCCCTCTGTTGTCTCAACTTAGAAAAGCTGCTTCCCTCCCTGATCTGCTGTTGCCAGATTTGTCCTTTCAGAATGACTTACACCAAGGCTGTCATTATCGCTCTCTCACACGCACACACACACAGACACACATGGACACACACACACACACACAGACTCAGACACACACACACAGTCCCAGTGGCTTTCTCTGTCCAAACAGTTGACTGGAGCACTAACTCACACAGTAGGAAGTTTCCACTGAGAATATACAGAGAGAGAGACAGAGAGAGAGAGACAGAGACAGAGAGAGAGAGAGAGAGAGAGAGAGAGAGAGAGAGAGAGAGAGAGAGAGAGAGAGAGAGAGAGAGAGAGAGAGAAATGTCTTTATTCTTTTGAAACTTCTGAGTGTAATGTTTACTGTTAATATTTATTGTTTATTTCACTTTTGTTTACTATCTACTTCACTTGCTTTGGCAATGTTAACATACGTTTCCCATGCCAATAAAGCCCTTAATTTCAATTTCAATTTGAGAGAGAGAGAGAGACAGAGACAGAGACAGAGACAGAGACAGACAGAGAGAGAGAGAGAGAGAGAGAGAGAGAGAAGCTTTTCAACCTGTGTATACAGCCAATGGGCTTGTATGCATTAGTCAAAACGGTTTTGTTGGAACAGAAGTACAGGAACACCCTCTTCACACGCACACGCACTCACATGCATACACACACGCACACAGACACACACACACACACACACTCTCACACCACTTCCATGTCCCTTCCTTCCCCCTCCCAACTCAGACCAGGTCAGCAGGGAGAAACACATTCCTGAGAGAATGAAACCAGGGACCTCCTCTGACAAAGTGAGAGAGAGAGAGAGAGAGAGACACACTAAAGGGTCAACCACCACGTGCTCTTTGTCACCCAAGTAACATACCACCTGTAAAAAAGAATGTTACATTTGTATCTTGTCTTATTATTATTAATGTTATACTGTAACATGGCATCTTTGATCTTCCACTAAATTGCTATGAAATGCAATGTGCTACTTCCTAGCGCGGTATGGGCTGAATAGCTGCGCAACTTGGACACAACATCAAACGCATCATCAAAGCGCTTTGGCCAATGTTGCAGCTAGATATATAGCCTTTAGGCTCTACTCTTTAAAATAAACGGACATTTTCTTTGTTCGGCATTGGGTTATATTTACCCTTTCTTTCTTCGGTCGATGTTTCTCCATCCTGTCGTAGTTTTATACCCAGCGGCAGTAACTTCAAACTTTCATCCCATGCAGTTCGCTTCCCAAACAGGACAGAGAAACCGTGCGATCTCACAAAACAATGTAGTAGGAAGGAACTCCAATCAACCGCTCTAATGTTTTCATGGACCTCAAAAAAGTGAACAACCATGCGATATTCCCACTCAACCGCCCGCGAACTAACTAAAGTTATTTCCCAGAAAGTACGCCATATTGTCAAATCCGTTTTTCCCCGAGTAACGGAATTTGTGTCCGGCGGAGGCGTGTCTCGGTAGGCTCGAGCTTCACGGATGCAGCTCCAGTCGGTCTCCAGGTCTCAGTTACCCGTGGTGACATCAGAGAGGGGTTGAGTTACCTGTCAACTATTCATTCCACTGTGGAGCTGTAGGTATTGTTTCTACAGCATTTTGGTAATATATCATTACTTTCTGCAACCCTCTTCGTAAATAAACAAGCCAAAAGGTGCAGATTGCTTAAAAGTAGATTACACAATGGCCTTGAATCAAAGGGTGATAAACAAATGAAGAAGAAATCTAGAAAAAGACAATACAATCAACATCCCTCTGCATTTCATTAACTTATTCTGGTTACGCCTTATTTTGTAGTATATTTAGAAATTGTTTGGTAAAATGTAAATTACATAATAATAAACTAATACTTTGGTGTTAGTGTAGCCTAATGTTTTATCAAATTGACAGTATTCTGAAGACAACAGTAATGCCTACAGGCTATTTAGGAGTGAGAGTGTTTTTTACAGAGTAAACAAATAATAAATAAAAACATTACATCCAAACACTTGTCTTTGACAACGATATATTTTCTTATACAAGTAACTTCAATGTACTACTTACAGTGGTTAAGTTACAGTCATAAATGCTGAGCACAGACAGTAGTTAAAAATAAAGTATTGTACACTATAGCTTTGATATTTACGCACAGGACTTGAAACATGGTTTTCCCTTTACAACAGTAAGCCCCTGATACAACTATCACTATTTACTGTACAACTATTATGTTAGTATTCATATCTCTGGGTGAGGAAATATATTTATTTCACTTCTCTTTTTGACCTGCACTGTTGGAGCCCGGAGCTTAAGAATTTCACTGTACCCTGTGCATGTGACCAATAAAATAATCTAATAAAATAAAATAAAATGGTATGCTTAAATAGATCAGGCAACACTACATCACATTGGCACTGCATCACCTACTAAAGCACATTGTTTGTGCTTTCTGGTCTTGTGTACTTTGGGTTTTGTCATCCTGAGGCAGGGCTTGTGCAGTCTGACTGAGCAGTCCTTGCGTTTAGCCCGTCTAGTTGGGCCTCCTGCCATTTTGTCCAGGGACCTGAAGATGGCGACACTCCTCCATGTCTCCATCAGTCTTCTTTGCTGCTCCAGCTGAGTGGGAGAGGGTTTGACCAGAGCAGCTGAAAAGCTGTAGGCAAGGAGTCAGACTGTTACAAACTTGTGTGTGTGTGTGCATGCGTGTGTGAGAGAGAGAGAGACAGCATGTGCATGTGTGCAGCAGTGTATGTGTGTCTGCGAGTGTGTAGTGCACTGGCCTTGTCCCTGTGTGCAGACTGAACCCCAGACAATTCCTTCTGTTGAACCAGACCCTCAGACTGTCTAGAGAGGACAGGAGAGGAGAACATATTGGGGTGAGTGCCAGACACACACTTGAGCACACTCCCACTGCTGCCCAACTGATCTACAGTACTTCTACTGCCATTTATTTTATCAAATATTTTAATTGACCTGGCCCGGGTATCCTGGATGAATATTGACCTCATTCCGTCAGTAGAGGATGCCTGGTTGTTCTTTAAAAGTGCTTTCCTCTCAATCTTAAATAAGCATGCCCCATTCAAAAAATGCAGAACTAAGAACAGATATAGCCCCTGGTTCTCCTCAGACTTGACTGCCCTTGACCAGCACAAAAACATCCTGTGGCGTACTGCATTAGCATCGAACAGCCCTGGCGATATGCAACTTTTTAGGGAAGTCAGGAACCAATATACACAATCAGTTAGGAAAGCAAAGGCTAGCTTTTTCAAACAGAAATTTGCATCCTGTAGCACTAACTCCAAAAAGTTTTGGGACACTGTAAAGTCCATGGAAAATAAAAGCACCTCCTCCCAACTGCCAACTGCACTGAGGCTAGGAAATACTGTCACCACCGATAAATCTACAATAATCGAGAATTTCAACAAGCATTTTGCTACAGCTGGCCATGCTTTCCACCTGGCTACCACTACCCCGGCCACCAGCAACTTGACCATGCCCCCCCCGCCCCCGCTTCTCCTTCACACAAATTCAGACAGCCGATGTTCTGAAAGAGCTGAAAAATCTGGAACCCTACAAATCAGCTGGGCTAGACAATCTGGACCCTTTCTTTCTAAAATTAGCCGCCGAAATTGTCGCAACCCCTATTACTAGCCTGTTCAACCTCTCTTTCGTAACGTCTGAGATCCCTAGAGATTGGAAAGCTGCCGCGGTCATCCCCTTCTTCAAAGGGGGTGACACTCTAGATCCAAACTGTTATAGACCTATATCAATCCTGCCCTGCCTTTCGAAAGTATTTGAAAGCCAAGTTAACAGACAGATCACCGACCATTTCGAATCCCACCGTATCTTCTCCGCTATGCAATCCGGTTTCCGAGCTGGTCATGGGTGCACCTCAGCCACGCTCAAGGTCCTAAACGATATTATAAATGCGATCGATAAAAGACAGTACTGCGCAGCCGTCTTCATCGACCTGGCCAAGGCTTTCGACTCTGTCAACCACCGCATTCTTATTGGCAGACTAAATATCCTTGGTTTCTCTAATGACTGCCTCGCCTGGTTCACCAACTACTTCTCAGATAGAGTTCAATGTGTCAAATCGGAGGGCCTGTTGTCTGGAACTCTGGCAGTCTCTATGGGGGTGCCACAGGGTTCAATTCTCGGGCCGACTCTATTCTCTGTGTATATCAATGATGTCGCTCTTGCTGCTGGTGACGCTCGGATCCACCTCTATGCGGACGACACCATTTTGTATACATCTGGCCCTTTATTGGACACTGTGTTAACAAACCTCCAAACGAGCTTCAACGCCATACAACACTCCTTCCGTAGCCTCCAACTGCTCTTAAACACTAGTAAAACTAAATACATGCTCTTCAACCGAACGCTGCTTGCACCCGCCCACCCGACTAGAATCACTACTCTCGGCGGGTCTGACCTAGAGTATGTGGACAACTACAAATACCTAGGTGTCTGGTTAGACTGTAAACTCTCCTTCCAGACTCACATTAAGCATCTCCAATCAAAAGTTAGATCTAGAATCGGCTTCCTATTTCGCAACAAAGCCTCCTTCACTCATGCTGCCAAACATACCCTCGTAAAACTGACTATCCTACCGATCCTTGACTTCGGCAATGTCATTTACAAAATAGCCTCCAACACTCTACTCAGCAAATTGGATGTAGTCTATCACAGTGCCATCTGTTTTGTCACCAAAGCCGCATATACTACCCACCATTGTGACCTGTACGCTCTTGTTGGCTGGCCCTCACTACATATTAGTCGCCAAACCCA